AGGACCAGCTTGAGAGTGACTGGAGCCCTGTCGCACAAAATAGCTTTCCAGAGAGCCCTGTTTCTCTTGTGCCCTTAGGATTTCCCTAAAATGGGACACAAGAGTGTCATTGCACTCCACTCTCGTATTTTTCAATGATCTTCATTTCCATCGTAATTCCTTTAAACACTATAACTCACTTTCCAGCACTATTGCCATTGTCTGCAGGGCTTAACATAAGGGGGAAAAGGAAGTAAATTCAATTATATTAATTCAGTAATTAGCTAATTCGTTTGTTAATTGGGTTTAGAGGTTATCGACTACACGAGGGTGTAATCGATAACTCTCATCTTGTCGGTATTGTATACCTGTCTTGCACACACCCTCCTTCCATTCTTTCCTAGGAAGATTCCTATCCCTTCTTCCCTTCACTACAAATTTATACACCCTCCAAGTCATTCTATTTTGCTCCATCCTCTCTAAATGACGAAATCACCTCAACAGCCCCTCCTCAGCCCTCTGAATAATACTTTTAGTAACATCACACCTCTAATTTCCACACTACGAATTCGCTGCATAATATTTACGCCATACATTGCCCTTAAACACATCTCTGCCTCCAGCCTCTTTCTTGCTGCAAGATTCACAGCTCATGTTTCACATCTACTTAAAAGTGTTGGTACCACTCTATATTTCATAAATTCCCTTCTTTGCCTCCTTGAATAATGTTCTTTATCATCACAGATACCTCCTTTTTTTCCTTCATCAATTCTATTTTCAAATATCTGAAGACATTCAATTCTTCCATACTCCCTCCAATCTCATATCCAGTTTTTCCTTATCTAAATCGTTTCATACCTTCATTACCTCACTCTTATCTATGTTCACTTTGAACTTTCTCCCTTTACACACCCTCCCAAACTCTTCCATTAACCTTTGCAACTTCTCTTCAGAACCTCTCAAAAGTACAGTATCATCAGCAAAATGTAACTGTGTCAACTCACATTTTATATTTGAATCCTCATGATTTAATCCCACCAATTTTCCCAACACCCCAGCATTTACTTCCTTTTCAACCCCATCTATATTTTTTTCTGGATAACGTAGAATATCAGAATACTACTAAATACTAATACTACTATACTACTAAATATATCCCTTTGGCATTGTGAATGCCACAATTTGTTGATAGCCTGGTGTTTATTTGTTCTCTGTCTGTCTATCTCTGTATCACTCACTGTGACTATGTTCAAATGAGAGTTAATGTATTACCTATGTTATTTTATTCCTTAATATTGATAAAATATCTCGATGGCTTAATAAAACGGAAAACTAAGAGACAATTGATAATTTCTGACCTGTAAGTGATGAGTCCCCAGTTTTCCATGGCGCCAGCTGAGAAGTCAGGAATGGCTATCATGTCTTGCTTGGGGAGTGGGAACGGAATGTTGAAGTATTCCTCCTCGTAGAACGTCAGGGCTTCAGGACCTGTCCTGAGGGCATAATCTGTCTGCTGAATGGCACCCTCACGAGCCCACACTGCAAAGGATAATAGAAATATTCTATGCTAGCAGAGCCCTTAGATCGGTAGACAACGCTCTCGCCTCACACACTGAGTGTCCATAGTTCAATCCTCGGCCGGGTGGATACTTTTTACACGTTTCCTTACACCTACTATCCCTGCTCACCTACCACTAAGCAGGTACCTGGGTGTTAGCCGACTGGTGTGGGTCGCATCCTAGGGAACAAGATTGAAGGACCACAAGGGAAATAAGACAGACAGTCCTCGATGACGCACTGACTTTCTTGGGTTATCCTGCGGTGGCTAACCCTTAGGATTAAAAATCCAAACAAATTTAATCATAAAATAAATAGTAGCAAAACAATACTGCACAATATTTCCATAATTGTTAATCAAAGGACAATAAAATTAAATATTTTTTCCGGTGATTGAGATTTATATCTTACCTCTGAAGAGAACATGATCGTTGGCATTAGAATCAGCATGAGTGAAGTCGGAAACGACGAAGGCGACCAAGTAAGTGGACATTGGCACACTTGTGTTGAAATGGTCCCACACCCACCCATCCTCACCCTCACTGTGCAAACAAACCTCATGTTAATGTATTATTATTATAAACAAAGTTCTTTTATATCAGTAAACACTGTATTTAATAAAAACAAATTAAGGGTCCACTTTTTTCTTACAATGGAAAGGTTTCAAATTTTGGCATGTTTGAAATTGAAGACATTGACGTTTCTCTGGCGAGGAAGATTTCGAAGGTAGCTTTCATAGCAGGTTCATCAAAACATGGAAAGGCTCTCCTGGCATCAGTTGGCTCAAACTGAGTCGACGCTAGCAACCTGCAGTGACAAACACATTATTACCACCTTTAAGAGCAGAATAAATGTCCTGATAATGTGGACTTTGTCATGACACAATCATTTTTCAATACTTTCAGCTGTTGCTATCACACATTTAAATTCATTTCTATACAATAGTTGGCTTACATTTAATTCAGTTGTAGATCAAGATTATGGTCCAGTAAATTTTAAACCCGCTGTATTGTAACGCACAAAGACTTAAAGAAAAACGAACTGAACCCACCTCACGTTACTCTATACATCCGTTGTGTCAATATATTATTTGTATTTGGCTTGGTAAAGCTCCTGGTGAGCGAAATGTAGCCGCAGTAAATATCTTTTTAGTTTTTACATGAGTCTATTTACCCAGTTTACCTCTTGTTACCGTCTTCGTCAGTGTATGTGGATCTATAAAATCCTTTGAGTTGATCATTAAGGTAACCGACGAACTCCATAGAGAGAATATACTTCTTGTCAAGTTCCAGCTCCTCCCCTAACACACCAATATAGAAATTGCGGTCGTTATCGTAGAGGTTCTGCTTCACCTCAACTCCAGGACCATCCACGTTGTCAGAAGGCACCACCTGTGAGAGTTCAGACTTCATAAGCACCACTTGTGAGAGTTCAGTGTTCATAAGCACCACCAGTGAGAATGATGAATGGAGGCAGAAAATTCATGATGGGACGAGAAGCAATGACATCAATATGAATGGACGAAGAGCCCGAAGATACTACGAAGGTAGTGGGTAAACAGCAAGAAAGCTAAAAGCGGGAAAAGCAGAATGGTTTAATGGATTTTGACTGGAATACTGAATGCAGGTGGTGATAAAGTATTGGAATGATTGATTTGCTATTTAATACATATATGAACCATGGATTGACAGAGCATATGTGGGGTTCCTTCATACTTAGAGAATGGGAGGAAGTTGCAAGATAAAGTAAATATTTTAGAGGGATAAGTTTGTTGAGTATACCAGGTAAACTTTGTGCTATTGTTGTGACTGATAGGATACTAGTAAATGAAGAATGTATAAAATCAAAGCACAGTGGATTTAGTATGACAAGAGGATGTATGGCTCGAGTATTTCCATTAAAGTATATAAATGAGCAAGACTCATACAGTGGGCATAAACCATTTATTGCATTCATGGACTTGGTAAAGTTGCATGACAGGGCAGCTTGAAGGGGAACGTGGAAAGCTGTAAAATGCTTGTGTAAGTTAAACAAAGCACACATTAAAGAATGTAGGAAAGAGGATGGCTATCAGTCAGTGTGGGACACAAGAGAAGTATGTATAATATCTTCATGGAGTTGTAAGAGAAGCGAATGCTTGTGTTTGGGAGAGTATGATCTTAAAATATGATGATTCAAATTTTAAGTGGTAACCTGCATAATTATTTTTTAATAATACAGAAAAAGTGCAAACATTGGTAATGGAATTTGGAAGGGAATGTAAAAGTGAATAAGTTGAAAGTAAATAAAGGATGAAGGTGAAGAGAAAAAGTAGAAGATACGGGGTAGAAAGAGTAGCAAATACATAAACTTTAAAGCAGGTTGGAGAAAGGAGTGGAACTAATTTGGTGTAAACGCCATCTTGTGCTCTACGTACATACAAATATACGGAATGGTAGTGTTCTAATGACAGGTTGTAACCACTGAGCATTAAACACAGCCTCATGCCAACAAAAACTTACCAACCAACGGCGTACTTTGGAGGTGGATAAATGGATCCTTAGGTTACCTCAGACGTGCCCAAGACTACATGGACAGATGGTCATAGGATATACAGAAATAGTATAGTAAACAGTAAAAAGGCACAATACCGTGACTGGAACAACACACAAACAACCCGCACACGGGAGAATGAAACTTATACCCACGTTTCGGTCCAACTTGAATCATTAACTTTTTTTCTATAAAGTCATCGTCACTCCCGCAGTCTTACCATATTACAGTGTGATTTACATTTCTCATAAAACATAAAATAAATTACAATAGGTGTACTTTTTTTGCTCTAGATATTCCTTTCTGCTGGGCAACTGTGTCGCTTTGACATCGAAGACGTAAATTTTGTTTACCTTTTTATACTAAGTGATTAGGACCATTTTTTCTTAACGCCTCAGCGCCGTGACTCTGTGGCTCCTTGACAACTCTTAAAGAGGAGGTTAAAGACCATGGAAATAGTTTGCCCGAAATTTGTGTTTAAAGTAAATATAGTTACGCAGAGAATACCCACATCAAGCCTGTTTACCTCCGAATCTCTTTGCCAAGAATATAAAAATGTTAAAATTATGAAGAAAATATAGAATGAAGAAATTAGAATTTGTTCTCTCATTTATTTTCACGTTATTGTGAAATAATCAAGTACTCAGTGTTATCTCAATAAAGACTCATGGAACTTACTTTGATGGTCTCATTCTTGGTGATAATGTCAGCAATGTGGAGGGTAATGTTGGAGGTGGGTTCAATAACTTCTATCTCCACCTCAACATAGCCCATGATGCTGAAGTTGCCATTGATAAGAGGCTGAAGTTTTACCACATAGTGAAGAGGCTTGAGGGTCTTGGGGAGTCGAATATCAACTTCCTCTTTCTCTCTTGCATTTAATATGGATACCGGGAGATCACTAATGGATCCAAGAGGCTGTCAAATGTATTAATAGATTCAGGTTATTAATCCAATCAAGAAACATTAAGCAATTTACAAAAATAGATATAACTGAAGGTGCCAAAAATATTTAACAGTGACGTTACCAACTTATTCCAAACAAAAAAAAATCTGTAGCGTACTGTATACAATTGACATTGGAGTAATTAACACGTATAAAAAAATCTTATAATGCAGAGCATATCGGGCAGCCTTAATATTAACTTAAAATTACTAGACAATGAGACAAATACAGGATATTGCTAGAATGGTATAGTCTGCCAAATTTGACATTTATAAACACTGTGGCAATTTGGTATATGAATTATGATATTCTGAGATCTTGTATAAGAATCTGGCGCAAAATTTGTATCAAAGAATACTGAGGGAGAGAATATATTTGGTTTCTACATGTGCTGGAACAGACTGGTCATAATATATATTCTAAAACATTAAACAAAGAAAATTAATTAAATATATTAAACACGAATATAATAAGTCTTAGATCGGTTACCAACATTTATTTTAAATAAGTTACTAATAAATAATTTCAGAAAATAGCTGAATTTAAACCAGCTATCCAAAAGATAAAGAAATGTCACAATACTATGACTGGGACATTTCAAAATTAGACCAAGAATATGAAATGTAACCAGACAGGACTTGATATCGATGGCCCAGAACGGACAGATGCATTGTCCAGTTTCATTTCCGATTTGTGGGTTAGCTGTAAAATACATCCAGTAGGAATTCCTTTAAGGAAATTAACCCTAATCAATAATATAATTAAGATTCATTCAGAGGAGGGGCCAGAAATTCTATATTGGAAGGGGGCTTAGGGCTGGCTATCTGGCTGGAAGAAAGGGGGGGGGGGCTAGGAGACTTGCTTTGAAGCAGCGTTACTGTTATTACTATTTTTATTTGGGGGCTTTGTGAAGGCTGAGGGAATTCATGGGGAACAGAAGCCGCCTTTTTGTGCCACCCCTTGCTTCATCGATTATAGAGACACGCTTCCTTAACCAAGTCAGATAATAAAAGGTATATAAGAACATAAGAAAGGAGGAACACTGCAGGAGGCCTGCTGGCCCATACTAGGCAGGTCCTTTACAATTCATCCCACTAACAAAACATTTACCCAACCCGATTTTCAATGCTACCCAAGAAATAAGCTCTGATGTGAAAGTCCCACTCAAATCCAACCCTTCCCACTCATGTACTTATCCAACCTAGATTTGAAACTACCCAAAGTCCTAGCCTCAATAACCCAACTAGGTAGACTGTTCCACTCATCAACTACCCTATTTCCAAACCAATACTTTCCTATGTCCTTTCTAAATCTAAACTTATCTAATTTAAATCCATTACTGCGGGTTCTCTCTTGGAGAGACATCCTCAAGACCTATTAATATCCCCTTTATTAATACCTATCTTCCACTTATACACTTCGATCAGGTCTCCCCTCATTCTTCGTCTAACAAGTGAATGTAACTTAAGAGTCTTCAATCTTTCTTCATAAGGAAGATTTCTGATGCTATGTATTAATTTAGTCATCCTACGCTGAATGTTTTCTAACGAATTTATGTCCATTTTGTAATACGGAGACCAGAACTGAGCTGCATAATCAAGGTGAGGCCTTACTAATGATGTATAAAGCTGCAGTATGACCTCTGGACTTCTGTTGCTTTACACTTCTTGATATAAATCCCAGTAATCTATTTGCCTTATTACGTACGCTTAGGCATTGCTGTCTTGGTTTAAGGTTGCTGCTCACCATAACCCCCAAGTCCTTTTCGCAATCTGTATGGCTAAGTTCTACATCATTTAATTTATAAGTACTAGGGTTATGGGCACTCCCAAGCTTCAGAACCTTGCACTTATCTACATTGAACTGCATCTGCACTTTTCTGACCAAGAATAGAGTTTGTTTAAATCCTCCTGAAGTTCCCTAACATCTACGTTTGAATCAATTATCCTACCTATCTTGTGTCATCGGCGAATTTGCTCATATCACTAGTAATTCCCTCATCAAGATCATTGATATATATTATAAACAACAACGGGCCCAAGACTGATCCCTGTGGAACGCCACTTGTTACAGATCCCCACTCGGATTTAACCCATTTATGGACACTCTCTGCTTCTGTCAGTGAGCCTGACTCGATCCACGAGAGCACTTTTCCCCCAATGCCATGGGCTGCCACTTTCTTTAACAGTCTATGGTGGCGGAACTCTATCAAAAGCCTTACTAAAATCTAAGTAAATAATATCAAATTCTTTATTGTGGTCAACAGCCTCAAAAGCTTTACTGAAGAAAGTTAATAAATTAGTTAGACAAGACCGGCCTCTTGTGAATCCATGCTGAGTATCATTAATCAAGCTATGCTTATCGAGATGGCTTCTTATAATCTCAGCTATAATTGACTCTAGTAATTTGCCTACAATTGAGGTCAGGCTTATTGGGCGGTAATTTGACGGTAACGACTTGTCCCCTGTTTTAAAAATAGGAGTTACATTAGCCATCTTCCACATATCAGACACTACACCTGTTTGAAGAGATAAATTAAAAATATTAGTTAATGGTTCACAGAGTTCCATTTTGCATTCCTTAAGAACCCTTGAAAAAACCTCATATAGCAAGATTGCAATAGAGTATACGTCTTACTGTCTTAGTGACCCTTACCAGATGATAGCGAAGATGCATTAGCCATTGAAACACTGAGAAAATTATTGCGAGAGAGATATCAACTCTCTGACTATGGTTCGTTAAGCTAACATTAACAAGCAGCTTTGTATCCAAAATTACGTTGATTTATAGGAAGAATGTATCAGACACTGTCAGTGTAATCTGTAGATTGTCCGAAATCTCTACACTTCCTCTTATTTTTAAAACTTATAATTGAAATGTTAATGCAATGGACAGCTTGAGCTACATAAACACTAGTACATGTAAGGCCACCAGATTCTACCTGACACATCTTTCGTAAATCTCTATAAGCGGCGGTACATATTGTAACTAGTAACACTATAAAAAATAGTAATATTAAAAATAAAAAATAATAATATTAACAGTAATAATAATAATAATAATAATAATAATAATAATAATAATAATAATAATAATAATGATAATAATAATAATAATATTATATTATTATTATTATTATTATTATTATTAATTATTATTATTATATTATTATATTATTATTATTATATTGTTATTATTATTATATAATAATAATAATAATAATGATATTATTATTATTATTATTATTATTAGTAGTAGTAGTAGTAGTAGTAGTAGTATTAGTAGTAGTAGTAGTAGTAGTAGTAGTAGTAGTAGTAGTAGTAGTAGTAGCAGTAGTAACAATGCACTTGTTGTTTTAAAACGTTTTTGAGTGTTGTGAGCCCGGGAAGAGACTTGCAGTTTACAATCGAAAAACCTCGGGTTCGATTCACAAGCAAAGCGAAAAGTAAGGGCAAGTCTTTCATACTTGCTGCCCCTGTTTATCTATGAGTAAATAAATACCTGAGTATCATTCGAATGTTCCTGTTCGTACCTTAGTAGTTATGGAGAGGATGGCAGAGTAGATTAGAATTAGGCTATAAAATAAACTGAGTGAAATAACATGGAACTAGGTTATGAAACGAACTGAGGTAGGATGACATAGAACTAAGGTTGGATAACACTAAGCTAGGTTTGAAATGAAATTAAGCAGGATCTCAGCGTTTTCTGTGTAAAGTGAGTCGTGTAAATTAGAGTAGAGAAGAGACGCTCACCACATAATAAGCAGAGTCCCGGAAGCCCAACTCGGATGTGGTCTTGGAGAAACTGTAAGCCAGGACACCCGCGGCCACCGTTGCGCTCACGAACAGAAACACAAACAGTACTGCAACTCCTCTTTTGACGTAGCAGCCAGTTTTCCTTACAATGGTTGCTGACTCACTCTCATTATCCATCTCCTTCATTGTATCACACCCTCTTGTATTTTACTCTGTTGTGTATCTATAAATTTGATTATTATTATTTTTGTTTATTATTAACACACTGGCCGATTCCCACCAAGGCAGGGTGGCCAGAACAAAGAAAAACTTTCACCATCATTCACTCCATCACTGTCTTGCCAGAAGGGTGCTTTACACTACAGTTTTTAAACTGCAACATTAACACCACTCCTTCAGAGTGCAGGCACTGTACTTCCCATCTCCAGGACTCAAGTCCGGCCTGCCGGTTTCCCTGAATCCCTTCATAAATGTTACTTTGCTCACACTCCAACAGCACGTCAAGTATTAAAAACCATTTGTCTCCATTCACTCCTATCAAACACGCTCACGCATGCCTGCTGGAAGTCCAAGCCCCTCGCACACAAAACCTCCTTTACCCCCTCCCTCCAACCTTTCCTAGGCCGACCCCTACCCCGCCTTCCTTCCACTACAGACTGATACACTCTTGAAGTCACTCTGTTTCGCTCCATTCTCTCTACATGTCCGAACCACCTCAACAACCCTTCCAAAAACAATATTTACAAAACAATATTTATTTCCTGAAATGTGGTAATTCATGACTGATTTAGTATTCAACTTTAAAAATAATGTATATATATATATATATATATATATATATATATATATATATATATATATATATATTATATATATATATATATATATATATATATATATATATATAATATAATATATATATCTATATATATATATATATATATGTCGTGCCGAATATGTAAAACTGGTCAATTAGCAAGAACTCATTTAAAATTAAGTCTTTTCTAAAATTTTCTCTTATACGTTTAAAGATATATTTTTTTATTAATGTTGATGTAAAAAATTTTAATTTTGCACTAAAAGGAACTAGAAAACTTACCTAACCTTATTATAACAAGCGCAATTTATTTTAGCCTATCCCAACTTAATATATTTTAGATTTGTTTACATAATTTAATACTAAACAAACACAGTGAAATATATTTTTTTTCGTTAGGTTCAGAATGATTTTGGCGAAATTATTGCATACACAAATTTTCACTTGCCCTATATGGCAAGATGAGCGTTGCTATTTAAGCCAAGATCGCAAGTTCTGCCTATTCGGCACGACATATATATATACATATATATATATATAATATTATATATATATATATATATATATATATATATATATATATATATATATATATATTATATATATATATATATATATATATATATATATATATATATATATATATATATATATATATATATATATATATAATATATGAATATGAATATGTATCCATGCAGGCCAGTACAGTCTGCATGGATTGAATTGCTAAAACTCCAAACCTTGACATGTTAGACAGAGTGAAGTCAATGAGATCATCAAATAAATCCTGTTACTGCCAGCTGACAGTGAACCTCAGTCTATCTTTAGCGTATCTTTACGGATACGCTCACCTGACGGAATCACATTAAATTCTTTAAAGAACAGTAGATTGCTGGTGTAGGACTTACGCATCTATTCTGACTAACACTACCTACATCCCATATAGTACTGGTTTGCAGGGTGCTCCTGATAACAGGGAAGATCACACTCAACAAGTACAGGAACAAGATACATCAGTGCCACTTTGTGCCTACAGGTTCGGAAACCTTTAGTTCAAGTGAAAAGCATACCACGGGTTTCCTCAAAGAGCTGGGTTCCAGGTTCATCGAAACCACCAGAGACCCAAGGGCTGCTTCCTTTCCATTCCAGACACTCAGTATGGCAATCAAGAAAGGGAATGCCTGCTGCATCTTGGATTCCCGAAGGATATCAGAAGAATTTACAACTTAATATATGAACTTACATATTTTTTACAATTCTTAACGCATGTAAATTCCTCAACTTCACGTTTATTCCCTTTTCTAAGGATGAGGGTCCCAAATTAGCACTGGAGGGGGAACTTCCTTCCAAAAATGTTGTTAAAGTCGCCTGTTTACGATTGTTTTGCAATATACATGTATATGCATGTATATATATATATATATATATATATATATAAATATATATATATATAATATATATATATATATATATATATATATATATATAATATATATATATATGTATGTATGTATGTAATGTATGTATAATCTAAACGGCAGGAGTATTTACCTGTTCGGTGAAGTGGAGATGCAGACTTGAGACAAACAATGTTCTCAAGCTATTTAAAGCAGTTATGGCATCACTTTATCTCTGACGATAACGGGGAATTTTATCTACTTAGTTTTATATGGTTCATTATCACACACTTGAAACAAATATTGTTAAGATTAAACTATTTAATAAAATGAGAAACTTCAGTTCACACTATTTACTAGAGATATTTGTCTCAAAGTTTGTAATTGTAAATTATTATCGGATATTCAGAGAATTTCGAAAGATTTGCACATTAAAAATTTCGAACCACGATTTAGTGTCTGCAGAGGGAGTGTTCACAGCTGTTTTTCTGGACTTTTTCTCAGTAGCTGACGTCGACTTGCGGTGTGTTTGAACTGTTGTCTGCTTGTAACTAGTTACAGTAGCATGTGCTAATATTTTTTTTTTAATTTTAAGCAATTATTAACCTTGTATGTATGTGTGTTCGTATATGTATATATATATATATATATATATATAATATATATATATATAATATATATATATATATATATATATATATATATATATATATATATATATATAATATATTATTATATATATATATATATATATATATATATAATATATATATATATATATATTATATATATAATATATATGCAATAAGATCACAGTAAACATGTGATTTCAGAATATGCAAAACAACCACTCTGAAAGAATAGAGAAATTACAAGCGCTTTCGTGACTGCTCACATTATCAAAGAACTATGAAAGTAAAGCATCCAAGGAAGCTATATAAGGGGTCTGGCCAACACCTCACTATCAGATCCCACAACGGTTAAACACCTGACGCGCGCCGACCCAACTTGGATAGGTCCTTTGCAAAACTCACCCACAAACTATTCTACCCAAGAAAATTTAAAAATTATTATTTGTCCAGTGTATTATTAAATTCTTCCCAAATTCTATTAATTATAAATGGATCTAATTTATATAAACCAAAGGAAATATTCATATTATTGTCAAAACTGCTTTTTATGAAACAAGATTCAATTATATTCCTGTCGACCATGGACTTGCTTGATACTACTTTCTCAACTTTTTGAAAATCAATTGGATGGTTAAAATCTCTTACATGAATAAATAGAGCATTGGATCTTGTCCAGTTCTAATGCTATATTTATGTTGTTTTAATCTTAGTTCGAGATTTTTACCAGTTTGACCGTAATAAACTTTATAGACACATCCATCAGTATTTTGGGGGGAATTCTTTATCAAAAGTTTTTTTACTGTATCAAGATTTTTGAATACAACTTTAATATTAAAAGTCTTAAGAAGAGAAGGCATATCAACCAAGTTTTCATGGTAAGGGAGAACCAACATATTTTTAGTTGAATAAGGCTGGTTGTCCCTTTTTGGATTGTAAAAAGTATTTCTAGCAACTTTAAAAGATTTATCAGTTACATTTCTTGGGTATTTTAAATCATTACCTATTTCATAAATTTTGGATATTTCCTCATCTATGAACTCAGGACTACAAATTCGTAAAGCTCTCAAAAACATTGATGAGAAAACAGACATTTTGACTCTTTCTTGATGCGAGGAATAATAGTGGACATAGGAACAGTTATTTGTAGGTTTTCTGTAAATTTTAAATTTGAATTCATTATTACCCTTAATAATTAAAACATCTAGAAAAGGCAATGAGTTATTTTCTTCAAACTTAACAGTAAAGTTTATAGAATGGGCTAAGCTATTTAATTTTCCAAGGAAATGGTGTATATCTACATTTTTGGGCATAAGACACAAAATATCATCGCAATATCTGAACCATTTAGCTCTGTTAGGGAGGATTGTGTTAAGCAACCTTGTTTCAAAAAATTCCATGTATAGGTTACTAAGAACAAGTGAAAGAGGATTTCCCATTGCCATACCAAACTTCTGAGTGTAAAACTTATCATTAAATACAAATTTTGCATCAACAATGCAATGAACAAGTTCTGCCCAAGTCTCTTTTACCCAATAGACTCCTTGACATGAGAGATCGTCCTTTTGATGATTTTATGAGAATTATTCTTCAGAAACATATTGAAATAACTAAAATACAGGAGAAGGAAGCATTCAAAATATTGAGAAACAAAAAATACTCTTTTAATCAGGCCATTCCATCAGAATGGAAACACAGTATGTTGGATCATTGCTATAATAAACTCAGAAGAATTTGTAATGAACTCAAGAGCAAACTACAAAGAAAATTAGACATTTTAATTGAAAATAGTGATTGGACAAAGCATGCTAATAACAATTTTGTAATTAACTTATCAGATGAAATTTTAGACAAACATACAACTGCTGCTCTAGGTTTTGGCCTAAGTTTTGCAACTTCAAAAAAACTTAATAATGTTGAAATTGCAAAACCCTTTTGTAACTTTGAAAAATTTTCTGATTTATCCTCTGATGAAATTAATATTAGTAAAGGAATGGTATATTGCTCTATGTTAAAACCAAACATTCCCAATTGCCCTCAAAGATTCTTTAAGTCTTATGATACACTGAATAACAATAAAAATTTGCACCTTACTAAAGCAGACAAAATAAATGCAATAGTAATATGAAAGAAAATGATTACCAAGAAAAAATGAATAATCTCTTAGATGATACTGAAACCTATTCTAAACTTAGGAAAAATCCCCTAGAAACCGTTAACAGCAATTTCAATAAATCAATAAAACTTCTACTGAAAGGCAAAGATGAAATAGTCAAACAATTTACTTCCACTAATCCATCTTTACCTTACATGTATGGGCTAATAAAAACACACAAACCAGGGAATCCAGTCAGACCAATTATTAGCTCCATAGGGT